CTTTTGAATTTTGCCAACCAACAAAACATTTTTTATCGTTATTTGCCATTATTCTTTCGTAAAATTTTCCATTGATCTCTGCATATACTGTATATATACGTTTTTTATCAAAAAAATCTAGGTGCCCAATTTGTAGAGTTTCATCTTTATTTATTATATTATTCTGTTCAATAATCATCTTCTGTAGTTGTTCCAAGATATATTTTGGTCTGATTTCGAATTTGGAATTTTAATTTTAGGTCTCATCAATTTCTCCATTTTTGCATCATATTTGGATGGTTATTTTCCAATAATTTCTTTTTTTTCTCAATATCTTCATTCTTGCATTTCATTAATAAATCGCCATTACGCATTTCTTTCAAAGAATGTACTCAAACTCTCAATTTGGTGATTTTCACATTTTTTCTAGATTATTTCTTGATTTTTCTACAGGTTGTTTATTCTTTGGTTTCAATATCAGCGTCTATTCATGTTGTTAAGGTATACACAAAGAATTATGTTTCTTCTTCAGATCATCAGAATAACTTGGAGATTTTACTTCAATACCGTTTAATTTTTCCTTTTATTTGTCTCAAATATTTCATTATATCATTCGTATCATTTATATAAGACCCACTCAGGTTATAATTTTCATTTATTCTCTCATAGACTTTAGCTAAAAGTTTAATGTGATTATCTTTCTCGGAGATTATTAAATCCATCTATCTAATGATTTCTTCCAAATATGATATTATTTCTTCATAATCCCTTATCTTACATTCTGTGTTCAACTTAGATTCATAGTTCACCTGTGTATAATGTATATTTCAATGTTCTTCAATTGAATCAAATGAATCACTACTGATTGTAGCATATCAGCTCTTGAAGAAATTCCTCTACTTCCACAATCCTTTTCCTTGCACTCATCAACATCTTCCTTTTTCTTTCTCATTTCTCGTATAACCAGGTAATTTCTAAGATGACAAAAATGTTGACATTATTTGACAATGTCAGATAATCTAATGAATTTTCAATAAAAAGAGTTATTTCCCTTGGTTCTCACGATGTTCTCTGAACATTACAGGATATCCCTCCTCGTGGAAAACAGCACATAAAAAAACCTGGGGTCTATTTGATAACTACTGAGCGGTATGAAGTATGAATTGTATCAGGGCGATATGTTCTTTTCAGAATATGATATCAGCTGCATGCTTCAAATTCAATTTATCTGGAGCTTGAAAGTATCTCGCAATTCTCATCAATACAGGATACCTTTTATTACTGTGTAATCTTCGAATAGTATAGAAAAAGTCATGAATGTGACGGACTGGATATCTGTCAGGAATAGTACGAGCATTCAGAGACCGATAATCTCCACAAGGTCGCCATTCTCCATTTTTCTTGATAACCATGTGAAGCGGGGAGGACCAGCAGCTATCTGAAGGTCGGGCCACTCCAAATTTGACCATTGTATTGAATTCATTTCTAGCTGCTTCCAACTTGCCTTTGTCAAGACGACGAGCTCTACAAGCTACAGGAGGTCCAGGTGTAGTTCGAATGTGGTGCATCGTTGAATGTTTGATATCTTTAGGGATTCCGTCAGGTTCAGTAATTTCTAGGTATTTATTCAGTAATGCATGAAATTTTGATTCCCCACAGATAGATTTGATATGTGAATGTTTATCTGTACAAATTTTACCCAAAGTTGATATTCCTGTGAGAGGATCTTGGAGGCATTGATGTCGGATATCTACTAGGAGGTTAAAATGACCGAGAAAATCCATCCCGATGATTGGTCTTGTAACATCAGCGACAACAAAACACCAGGTGAATTCACGTCTGAGCTTGAAATTCAGACTGAGGTAGACTGTTCCATAAGTACTGATTACGGAACCATTAGCAGCAAAAAGTTCATACGACGACTTGTTACGTCGAGTTTTCATGAAGGATCTGGGATACACGCATAAATCAGAACCAGTATCCACCAAAAATTGAATTTTAGTTGTCACATCTGTTAATAAGAGGCGGTTGGACTCAGGGCAGTCGTTCACCGCTGAGATATACGGCTGCCCTTCTATTTTTCCGAATCTGCTGTGAACGGAACATATGTACAAGGAGTTACACATTTCTTCGCATTAGAACCAAATCTTTCGTGGTACCAACACATTTTCGAATCGTCTCTCTTCTTGCTTCGACTTCTATAACGGGACGACGACATGTCTCTGGATCCACTACGAGGACGACGTTTAACAGTGAGCAAGGCAACTTGCCGAGAAAGTTCTTCAATTTGCTTTGTGAGTAATGCTATTTCAGGGCCACTACTGGTACTTGGTGTTATGCTTGCAATCTGACAACTGGGTGACACTTCAATAATCTTGTCAGCTAGTTGAGCGACATCGTCTAATGTTGAGGAGCTTTGTGTAGCCAAAATTGCCCGTACTTGATTAGGTAATCGATTAAGCCATAAAGAGCGAACAAAATTGTCCGGTAAATTGGTACCTGCGAGACTTCGTAGATGTCGAAGGAATTGCGATGGTCTTCGAACACCAATTTCTTCATGTTCCAACAACCGTTGCAACTTTTGTTCTTGGGATATTGATAAGCGTTGAATTAACTCACGTTTCAACGTTTCGTATTTGCCAGTGGCTGGCGGATTTGTAATAATATCCTCCACTTCAACTGCGTAACGGCTTTCCAACTGAGATATGATATATGAAAATTTGGTGTCATCTTTGTTGATTGCACTCAGATGGAACTGCCCTTCCAACTGCGAGAACCATAGTGCTGGTTTCTCTGGCCAAAACGGTGGAGCACGCACAGACACCCGAGCAATTGAAAAATTGGCTTCTTGCGGCGGAATCACTCCGTCAGGCATTTTGGTTGAATAAGTAGAATGTTCTTAGTCGGGGTCACCAATTTGGTGGTGTTCACCAATTATTGAAACACGATACACTTTCGAATGAATCGTTTTTTTATTCGCTGTCACATTACTCTCTAAACAACTATCATTTTTTTATTATCTTCCCTTGTTTCCAATTCTCAGATGTATCATCAATCAAACTGACTCTGGAATATCATATAGAGGGTGTTAGTCCCTACAAATAGTATCATATTTGATTTTATTCAGAAAACTTTTTGTAGCGACCACAGAATTCATAATCCCTAAATCTCACTACTAGAACGCGCAATCCCATGTTTTCGTACTAAATTTCTTAACAAAACATATGCATTGAGATATGAGTTAAATTGTATACTTATCTCAGACCCACGTGCCTATATTGTATGATAGGAGGAGAGGAGAGAAACTACTGAGACGAAGGTCATGCATTTTCATCGGTTCGTTAACAAACGGAACGTTGCCAGTTTGATTACCTGCCACTTGTGACTGCTTGTCATTGAATTTATTCCCAAAAAGTTGAGAATATCATTATTAGATCTTCGATAATAATAATATTATACTCACTGGGTTATTGTTATAAAGGGATATGTTCAAGACTGTCAACTACCTGTTGAACATAGGAACGAAGTACCGATCCAGAATACTTCTGATGCCTATCTGTACCTATCACATAAAATGTTTTCGAGGTTTCTTGAATCCGATCACAAAGAATGGTCTTAGGATACAGTCAAACTTGAAATGGCCATCATCTGAACATCTGATCCATTTATTTTACAGAGTATGGTTTTCGTCTGACCAAATGCATGGCATGAGATTTGATGCCTGCCTTGCTTAAAAACGAAATTATATATTGAAAAGCGCTTTTAATTGAATTTGTTGAAAAAACTGTTCCTAAATTTTCAGATGGAACAATAACGATGTGTTCACATGATGAATTTTTTGTTCTTGATCTATCAGAATCTATAGAATCTTGAAGCTCTCCTATGAGTCCAATGAGAGCAGTCTGAAAATACCCTATATTCTTCAGCCTGATGAAATCATCCTCTATAGGTTCAAGCACAATGAAAAATGAAGTGACACGAGGTGATTGAAATGGGAATTTCATAGACAGTTGAATGACAAATTTTACACACATTTATATTGGCATACAGCCTCTCAGTCCCTATTTGAAGTGAAATGCGATACTTTTCGAAACCATGAACTATGACAATTGAATATGTCATAAAATATGCAAAAATCATGCTATGACGAATTTCTTCATTTCTAGAATATCCCCTATTCGTGCAGTGAATTCCGTTCTCAGAAATCAAGATCAGACATGTAGAGTACAAAAAATGAACAGCATAATTATTTACTTATATATCATCCTTTCTCATTGAAATTCTATAAGTAGTTATCTTCTGATTTTCTGAAAATTCATTTTATAATGATACTTTCATCTCTTCTGCGAGATACGTCACTGGCGCCCATTTATATTCCCCCACGAATTCTAACGCCGCTTCTATTTATGGTTCACTAACAGTGAGCAGTAGCAGCTCATGCATGATTTGTTCGTCCGCTATATTGAATACGCATTCTAGTCGTGAGATATTACGGTTATGAGTTCTGTGGTAGACACTCATCCTAACGAAAATAAAAATATCTAACAATAGGTCAAAGAGCAGTACTAGTCAGAAGCAAGAAAATCGAGATTGTTTCTTCAGCGACCTTAAGCGCCAAAACTAACAATAACAGTAGTTTGGTATTTGGACATTCTGTTCAAAATGCCTCAGGCTATAACATATCAATAATTCAAAGAAGGTCAATTATCTCCATGAATCGTGCGGTATCTTATGTAAAGATGTGTATATCGCTACTTCGAAGTTGGAAACCAACTTGTGCGGGATCAAAAAAGACGAGAAACCTTCTAGTAGATTTTGAATAACTCCTAGGGCGCCAAGGTGCTGCTAGGATCAGCATCTCTGCGTCGTAAACGACTATCTAGCGAGTTTGAGGGAATAAGATAGCTTGAATACCGTTCCGTGAATGGAATAAGACATTTATTTTGAATAGCTTCAAGTTCGCAATAATTTTGAAATTGGTATGGCAAATATCACTTCTGCTTTGACACAGCTTCACTTACTTTTTTCATTAAGTTTCTGATTGTGCTCTTGCCAGATTTTGGTGGTCCTACAATTGCAACTCCCATCCTTTGCTGGAGTTGTTCGTAAAACTCTAGACATTTGTTGATCTGAAATAAGGAACAATCGATTATGCATTTTTTTAAATTATATATTCCTAGCCAAACTATCCATTTTTGGAAAATCCAATGAATCAGGTGATTCCCAATCACAATTTCACACATTCATAAGAAAGAATTGAATATCCAGGGCGATCCACCTTTGAGTAATGATGCTCGCGACATTTTTCTGAAATTGGAATTGGATCACTTCTTATGTCATTCAGTTTTTGAAATCTCCATGGAAAGCTGAATTCCAAAATATCATAATTTCGATTCCTATACAGTTCTGTTCAATTCAGTTATCTCTTGAAGTAGTTTGGTGATGAGTAAACTCGTAAAAATCAAAGAAATAATATTTGGAGAGAATGTTCGACGTTATTTATCTTCCTATTCAGATATTTCTTCTTATACAATTGATACATTCCGAATGATTCGTGTAATAGAAATCACGTTATCGGTAGTTTTTTAATAGCAAACTCCATTTTCCGAGAATAATGAATTTAATCCACGCACTGTATACGAACCCTATGTGTGATATTTTTTTTTGGGTCAGGTCTTCTGTCATTCAAAAAATCCAATGAGATATATAGGACCACCGTAGGTGATCCATAACTTACAGTGGAGGTGATATAAAACGGGAGGGGTGAAAGAACTTACAGTCACAACTCCACCACATAAAAATTTTAATAATGACCAACGGTCATGGACATAAAAAGGACATGTTTCGAAGGATTAATCCTTCATCATCAGCAAATGTGTTAAAAAGAAAATCTGTAAGAAGAAACAATGCTTATGTTAGTCATAAGTGTACATGTACATTTAGATTCCATAATCAACACTTATGACTAACATAAGCATTGTTTCTTCTTAAAGATTTTCTTTTTAACACATTTGCTGATGATGAAGGATTAATCCTTCGAAACATGTCCTTTTTATGTCCATGACCGTTGGTCATTATTAAAATTTTTATGTGGTGGAGTTGTGACTGTAAGTTCTTTCACCCCTCCTGAGATATATAGGATGTCTCATTTGGAACAATGTCGCGGTTATCATTCTAAAACTCGGAAACTCTGTATATTCATTTTATCCGTAAACATGTGGCAAATCGACCTATTTCAGGATTCCTCAGATATGGATGGTATAGCCTGAAAGGAATTCATTCATCACTTTGATGAAGCACTGTACATATGCTTTTAAGTAAGGATCGTTGAGGAATAAAATGAATTCAATAACGTGTCCCAGGAAGATGAAGCTGTTTCAGGATTTATCAGTGTATGTATGGAATTCTCTTGTCTGGCTCTGATTACTTTCAAATACTCCTTCTGCAATAGAAGTATTCATTCCTCATCAAAGATGAGCGACAAAAAAATATGATTTGAGTAAAAATGATTCATGACATATAAATACCTAGATATCGTGAAGAAAACTCATGAACCTCTTGCATCCCAGTGCTTTGTAACTGTTCAACAAATCGTAGACGTGGGTGTATGGAAACTAGTGTATCAGCAATGGCAAGGTTTTGGCTGTATTTGTTCATTGTCTCACTGCTTGAACTACTGCTTGCTGCTTTTTGCATGTATGCTAGCTAGAGTTATGAGATGATAAGCAGATCTGGCAATCGGATGTGTGTTTCTACGTACTTATAGCACCGCTGGATTTGGCAATGACAGAAGAGATCATGGTACTGCTTTTTTCATACCAGAGACATCCCAAAGAGGGCTTGATCCTACGGTGTGTGTATCCGTGCTGAGTGTATAAACTGAGCCTAACGGAACCTTTGAGATACCAGGCACCCTCTTGTCGTGCAAAGGCTTACCACGGTAATGCAGTGCTCTGCCGTGATGGACCTCTTTTCCCTTGCTACACGTGCGACTCACGTGGATGAAAAAACAACGCCAGACCTTGAGTCTACACAGGAGATGGACGTCGATGTTTCGACTCCAACTGATCTCTCGGTAACTCCAGATCAGGAACGAAAGCTTCTCAGCTTTCCGACTCCTGAAGACAACCCTAGTAAACTAGCTGGTGTAGTCAGAAAGCGACTCAGTCGCCTCTTCAAGAGTGGTATACCTCAAAAATTTGTCGTGAACCGAATACTTGAGCAGCGGAAAGTGAACCTGCATCAAGAGAGGAAACAAACTCTTCCGGTTCGAGGAAACGCTCTACAGATGATTTACGCTAATCAGAAACAGAATACCCGCCTGCACAGCTAGATAAGAGGATGTGACAGGTTGAACTGATTCATAAAAGCCCTTATATAAAGAGGCTGCCGTGGGTGTCAAGATTTCGATATTGGCCAGTCAATTTGAATCTCTTCATTATGCTATCATGGCTGCTGTGAAGGATATTCCGGATGACGGCCTACAAGTGCGATTCCAAATGTGTACATTTTGGCCTGGGTGGCTACAGGTCACCTGCGATGATCAGGAGATCGCTTCTTGGCTAACTGGTGTACCCTTCAGTCATAAGAACGTGCCTTCCTGAAATGTGTCTCAGACAACCCACAACCCAAGCCACATATCTGCGTGGCTTACCTGTTCGACAAAAGTATCTTACTATTCTTATGCAGACGACCTTGTTATTCTAGCAAAAAACACGTCTGGAATGGTAGCCTCTGATACCCTCCGTGGTGCATTAGATGATGTCTACAGTTGGTGCCAGAGGGAACTGACAACCCTGGCAGAACTGTGAAAGTACCTTTCAACAAAAAGAGGAACCTGGATGATATAACTCCACTGACCTACAATGGTTAGGGCATTCCATTTGCAGCGGAAGTGAAATATTCAGGTATAATCCTCGATGAGAAACTCACGTCGAACGCTCACTTGGGAAAGGTTCTTCACAAAGTCAGATTATCCTTATGGACATGCCGAAGGATCTGCAAAAAATCTCGGAGTTCAGGGCCCAAACAAATCCACTGGATATATGTGATGATTGTCATGCTAATGATCACATATAGAGCGAATGCTTTGTGGCCGAAAGCCTCACAGCCAAAAGCTCTCTATGTTACAGAGACAGGCTTGTAAGGCGATCACTGAGGCCATCAGCATCACACCGTCAGCAGCAATGGAAATTTTTCTAGACTCACTTTTCCACGTCTTCAAAAAGGGAGAGGCTAGATGGACAACATACAGAATTGTGCATATTGCAAATTGCACAAATCAGTCAAACACGGAGCGCAGCAGACAACTGGCGGACACAGAAAGTCGCAAAATTCTGGTTATCACCTCCGACCTAATGCCTCGAACAGACTGGCTTCTCCGAAAAGAGGAACTACTGAAAGCAGACAACTGTTGGTTCACAGATGGTTTAAAAAACCCTCAGGATCTGATGTGGAGGTTTACGGTCGCAAACCTAAGACAGAGATATCAACCTGTCTTGAGTACTAATGCCTCGAACAGACTGGCTTCTCCGAAAAGAGGAACTACTGAAAGCAGACAACTGTTGGTTCACAGATGGTTTGAAAAACCCTCAGGATCTGATGTGGAGGTTTACGGTCGCAAACCTAAGACAGAGATATCAACCTGTCTTGAGTACTATGCAATCGTATTCCAGGGGTTAATTCACGCTTTTGATATATGTATGGAAATATTGAAGGAAACCAACCTCACACATAAAACAATAAAAATATTCTTGAATAGCCAAGCAGGAATATTGATCGGGCCTTTTCAACTAGTGTACGATTAGTTCTTCCAGCTACTTACTCCATTTTGTTGCGGACTGTAGGCTGCAGTTGTCTGTTGTTTGATACCATCGTTCTTCACTCGTTTATACTTGCGTTCAGATATTCTCCTCTATCATATGAACGAATTGCTTCAATTTCCTTGCGAAAATAGTATTTTACCACAGCTTTGAATTCCTCAAACTTTTCAAGCACTTCAGATTCACTACAGAAGGAATGGATGAATGTTCATCTCGAGAAATTATCTATGAAACTAAGGAAAAAACTTTCGCCACTGATGGATTTTTTTGACATTGGTCCATGTATATCAGAATGAACTAATTCAAGCTCGCTTGCAGCACGTTTAACTGTTTTTCGAGGAAATGGTTGTCTTGCTTGTTTTCCTCTCAGACAACCACTGCAAACTGCTGAATTCGAAGGATCTTCAAAGGCTATTCCATCAGCGTAACCATCTTTGAAAAGTTTCATACCACCTAAACTCAAATGAGTTAGACGACGATGCTAGATATTGCACGAAGTACATTTCTTGGGTGAATTGTAGCAACATAACTCTTGGTTGAACTGGTCAAGTTTATACATATAGCTCACCATTCGTCGAAGTAGCTACTGCAATCAGCTCTTCCGTTTCACAGATCACTACTTCACAGGTTTTATTCTCAAAAATAGTTTCCATCTCCTTTCTGCTCAGTTCCTTACTGGATAACAAATTGAATCTCAAACCTAGAGCATATCGTATTTCTCTGATTGGAATCTCAACAGTTTTGAACTGTCAAAAAACTATATGCGATTGAAAAACTCAATAAATTATTTCGAGTCCAGATTCCTGGCCACTCTGGTATGGAAGATGAGGAAACGGCAGATTCCCTTGCAAAGAAAGGTGCCGCATATCGTTCCATCGGCCCAAAACCTACCATTGGCAGCTGGTTCTGCTAAACATATGCTGAACACCTGGACCGCAAAAAGAGTTCATACTTCTGACAAAATCTTTCAGGATTGGCTCATTCGAAGGCATTTATACATCGAAGAATGTTAGCAAACCAATTTTAGAATACAGCAGAAAAGACCTACGTTCTCTAACAGGCTTTTTTACATGCCACTGTCGTCTGAATCAGCATATGTCAAGACATGGGCTGTCGGATGATTCGACGTGCCGTCTGTGCCTTGGAGGTGAAGGTTCCACTCTCGCCCTTGTTTCGAAAGATCACTCTCACTAAGTAATTTAATCGGCTTCATCAAAACACTGGATCTTCTTGGGAAAGTATGAATTGGTGCGAGACACCTCACGAATCGTAGTGAAGAGCTGAATGAACCCACTGACTACTTATTAACCTTACCTAGCCTAACCATCAATAATCTTTAGGAATCCAATAATCTCTACATGTACTCACCTGTCTTTCATTTTTCACCAGAGATAACTCCTCAAAGCATTCCTCGATGGTCTGTCTTAGCACGTCATTTCTCAGAACGTCTTCTTCCACCCCTCTGAACACGTCTTCGACCAACTTTTTGAATTTCACGCTATCGGAAAATGACAGCTTTGACAATATATCTAACTTCAGCACTTGTACAACTATGCCCATCTCAGAACTGGGGTTTCTGTCAATTGAGTTTTTTGTTTTAGATTTTCTTAGAGCTCTGCCGCAACCGCCGAGAATGGTTCTGATCGATCTTAAGCCCCAGTCGTAATGTTGTTGACTGCTCAAAAGTTTACTGAAAACAAGTGCGATGAATGCAATAATTTGAAGCAAATATGACATTAACAATCACAGTATATCAAGTTTTGTTGATGGAGCATTATTTCATCTAGAAGACATTTCTAAAAATGGATGATTTCTTCAACTTCATTCCGAAAATGAAGTATCAAATTATGCCTCACTATTCAACTGATAATAAAAAGTGAACTGTTGAAAAGCCCTAGACTCGATCTCACTTGGCTCAGATCATAATTTTCCATTTCTAGAGATGGATGATTTCTTCAACGTTATTCCAAAAATGAATCAATCAATTATTGTGCTTCACTATTCGACTGATAATGAAAAGTGAACTGCTAATAAGCCATAGACTATCCGAGATCTCACTTGGCTCCGATAAAATGCTAGGAAATACGGCAACATCAAACAAAGAGGACAACATATTCGCATATTTCAGTAAGGTCGAAGTCATCACTGCGCATGTCAGAATTCCACAGTTGCATTAGACGAAAATTCAGGAATTCTATTGCTCCTATCTATTCTATCACACAACTCCATTTGGAAAACTGTTGTTTAGAGTTCAAATATTGTTATGAAATTAGATCACAACGAATGCATATAAGGATATGTCTATTATCAGGTAAAAGAGCGGAGAGAGATCATCAAAAGTTTTTAAAAAGTGTACAAGGAATTCATAAACTGAGTTCATCAAATAGTCTGCCTCCTGCCTAAATAATCACGCACCCTGTAATCGAGTAACTTTGTGATGATCCCTGATCCAGAAAGAAGGGTGCGTCATAACATTCTGTTCACTCACCTAGACATGTCAAATACTTCTATCAACTTCTTGGCGATGACGTCAGCGTTCTGGTACCCGTCGCAGTGCAACAACGCCTTCGCGATTTCTTCGTTATCTGGCTGCGTCATGACTACTGGCCTGAAGAGCTGTTTCAGGTTGTCCGGAAGTTTGTTCCTGCCGCCATAACCGCCGCCTGCGGGGTTGAGGGTTACGAAGATACCGCAATGTTTGTTGACAGGAACCTAAAATGATCATCATTCACGGCACAGAGTCAATGAGAATAACTGAAATCAACAATGGTACTTTGAGAAGGTTGTGTGAGAGCGAATGATGAGGATTCTGTTCATAGAGAGGTTCTTGATTTGAAGAGAGCTGTCTAGAAGTAATTGGAACTTTTCATGGAAGCCTCTCAACTCTAACAATACTATCAAAATACTCAAGTTTCATGAGTGCCCTAAATCTCGCGAGTAGGTTTTGAATGAATTCGATATGGAAATACCCGATACAGCAGACTTACACCTCATTTCAGATAAGCCGGTTATTTTTCAACTGCTGTAATAATGCATTCATTGGCATTATTTTTCATGAAGATTTTCATGTGCAACCTAACTAATCGTGCTAAGCACAAGGTCACTAGACCACTATTGTTGAATAACAAGTGGGCATCCGCACCAGCTACAGCCGAAGAAGGGGAGGTTCGTGGTAGGGAAAGTAAAAAAAAAATAACTAGAAAATATGGTGTTGAATGGGCGCCAGGCGAATTTACCCCGTGCAAATACCCTTCGTTGATCAAACTCAATCTTTCAAATTCACCAAATCAAGATTGAGGCTAAGTTATCACAAAGGTCGAATATATCAAATAAAATACGGGTCACCCTCGAATGTGTTTATTGATTTACAATTCATATAAAAAAAACTGTCAATGATGAGACAGTTCAGAGCCTCAGTACCAACTTTTACCAAAAAAAAATATAAATCCGAACACCAATGCACAAAACCTAAAGCCAACTAAGCAGTGACCGATAATAGCAACAACAGCCTTGAAGTCACCTAAACATGCAGCAAGTACAAGGTAAGGGCAGCGTAGAAATTAAAGGGCCGCAGTCAAGTATATTATGTGTCACGGAAGGGCAAAACGCAGCGCATGAGCTCAGGCGCAGGTTTGAGGTAGATATGGCCTCCGACTTAACGACACCGCGCGCACAATAATTTCCACTTACAAGTCTACCCAGGGAGTATCAATAAATGGAGACAAGAAACAAGCTTATTTAAACTCAGGGCATAAAACATCAAATCATACACCAACTAGAGGATTTAGTGGGTAGCTTAGCCAATTTAGCGGATTTAGCAAATTTTAGCACATTCAGCAAATTTAGCAAAGTTAGCAAATTTAGCAAATTTAGCAAATTTAGCAAATTTAGCAAATTTAGCAAATTTAACAAATTTAGCAAATTTAGCAAATTTAGCAAATTTAGCAAATTTAGCAAATTTAGCAAATTTAGCAAATTTAGCAAATGTAGCAAATTTAGCAAACCCAGCAAACCTAGCAGACCTTGCAAGTTGGCCAATCTAGCCAAATTTATCAAAATTAGCAAATCTATAAAATTTTACAAATCTAGCAAATCTGGGATCCCTAGCACATTCAGCAAATTTAACAAAGCTAACAAATTTGGCCTGTTTAGCAATTTTAGCAGATTTAGCAAATCTAGAGAATTTAGCAAATTTAACGAAGTTAGTCAATTTAGCAAATACAGCAAACTTGGCAAAGTTAGCAAGTCAGCGAATGTGGCAGATCTTCTAATTCCCATTATACTAGAGTTCAAGCATATATAGAAAATCGAACAATTTTAGCAGGTTCAGCAAATTCCAGCAAATACAGCAATCTTCACAAAATGTTCAAATGTATGGCTGCTACGAAGTTAGTATAGCAAATAAGACTAATTTAGCAAGTTTAGCCCCTTTAGCAAATTTAGCAAATGTGGGTAAAGCTAAGCATTGAGCATTATGAAATAATTAAGGGTCATTAAAAACTTGCGTGTCCTCAGTGGTGCAGCTCTTCAATGGTGTCACCCTGTATAAGTGAAGAGGTGGGCCTCACGGTCCCGGTGAACTCTCTTAGGCGCTGTTGGATTAGTGATAGTACCCTTGTTCCAATAGAAACGCCCTGTACAATGCCATGTATGATGTTGGAGGTTGGTTTGGTATCCAAAATAAAAACCCTAGGAATAAATGATCCAATTACTATCTCTACCCAGAAATAGATACTCCAATAGACTCAAATTTAGTCCTAATTACCATGGACTAATGAAATTGATAAAAAAACACAAAATTTGATTAATGCTTCTCCAAACTATAGGAAACAAACAAGCAACTGGTTTACATAACCCAGTGATATTCTTCTTGTTGAACTTTTATTCCCCACTTCAAAACATACCTACTATAATGATATGAAATAACCAGTCATATTCACTGTATAATATTAGAAAAATAGGAACAACTAGACCAGCTACGTTCGAAAAATAACAAGCTGTTACTCACAGACTGTCCTGTGATTTTTCCCAAGTCATAAAAAAAAGCATCAACAATTCTCCCTGAAATATTTAGGAAAATCAACTTACCCTGGCCAAGAGGTTTGTTTTATCCTTTTGTTATTTATGTCAATAACGTCGACAGTGCATAAACGGGTGGATCAACATCTGGTAAGTGATAATAGGCCTTATTGCATCTGTCCTTAAGGAAATGACGATACCATGAATTCTATCGACAAGAAAAAAAATGCTTCGTTAGATTCTGGAAACACGGGATCACCACAAAGATAGCACAACACAAAAAAAAATGCAAAAGGTAGTCCACATACCTAAATATACAACTGGTATCCTGAGGGAGCAGCTCTGATCACTTCACGTGAGAGAGTTTGGCAAAACTTCAGATCCTCGTAACGAGTCCAATTTGGGTCAGCATTCCAAAATATCCACAAAATATCAACCAACTGACACCGACATCGGTAAATATAGTCAACAAAAATAATCCCCTTGCAGGATGATACCAATAATCAAAATTTTGTGACTAACGTTTCGCCATTACTCTAACTCTCAACCACTAGAAGTCAAAATGAATGAATACCCCCAGAACACCACAGGTGTCGCCTCGAGCAACCACTTGTCAAAAGAAGCTCACAGAACAATGAACTATGGTGACGTCACTCCATCTTGGTGCAATAGATGTCGACACTAAAGAAGGTAACCTATCCGCCTAAAATTCCCTTCAGGATGAAAGACTTGATGAACAGCACTCTGGTACTCTCCATACAGCAAACCGGGTGAGTATACGTAGCTATATCCGCTAAAATATAATTTTACAATCCAGGAATTTATATTTCCAGATATGGCAACCCTGCACTAGAGATTGGCACTCACTAATGGATCGATACGAATGATCAGCGCCCAGCTCTTTCACGTCTGTCATAAATCAGACTTCATCACTTGACGCCCATGACAATAATGTCATGTATGTCATGATGTCAAGTCAAATGATGTAACAATCAGCAGCTCGCTGTGTAAACAAAGAAAAATAAATCGTATCCAAATATTCTCCAATTATACCAGCCTGATACGATTAGAAGCGAATAAACATTGGATTCAACCAACTATCTGGTAAGTCTGAAAGTCAACTTAGTATATCTTACAAGTCTCTATACAATCTTGCCTATAGTCTGCTACAATACTCAATTGATCAATACCTAAGTAAATAATAATTATGTTTATATGTTTTCAGGGTTCATAGCGGCGATAACTACACCGAAACCGATGAATAAAGAATCGATGAGTGTGTTGAAATGCTACGAACGCCAGGTGAGCCATTATTTGGAAGCAGTGCCAAAAAACCTGTTAGACACACAAATCTACTTCAGGGATACCTATCACACGAAAGACAGATAGAAGAATACCTTTTTTTGCGTTCATTGTGCTGTGAGAATAACAATAAATAAATTAAGGTACAGGGTGATCGAAAGGCGAGTTTTATTTATTCTATTTTTCTTGGTTGTGTAACGAAATGAGTTAACGTGGAAATTGAACGTTACAAATTCCCCCCTTACTTCAAGAAATTTGCCCGCAAATTTTTCCTAGGTCGAAACAAACTAAATACTTAGAATCTATACCCCATGAAACTTGTAGCAAGTATCCTCCTTGGTACAAGATATGTCCTAGGACATCTTGAGCTCCAGTTGCTTCACAGATGGATGACCCGGACGATTGCCCGAGCGACAGCGTTCCAAGGGAGCCTCGAAGGGGCCCTCGCGAAGATGTCAGACGCGTCGTGGACCAGCCCTCCGGTCAATCTTCCATCAGCAACCCTTGGACGCGCCGCCGCACGCACGGCCGACCGAGTCCGCCATCCGCGTCGCACTGGATACCCGCAATGGAAAGCCGAAACATGTAAAAGTAAATTTTGATTTAGGGCAAGCCCAAGGACTGCCAGTTCAACCCTAGTGGACAGGAGGGCCCACCACCCTGAAACGGCGCTGATGCCGGTGCGAGATTAAACAAAACATTCGGGATTGTTCCACAACGCAGTGCGGCGGACAATCTCTCGTTCCCTCGGCTCAGGGACCTTTGACCGAATTCAGGAGTACTGACGGGCCATAGTGACGGGCGCCCGTAGGCAACTCGCGATTCCGTCGACCGGCCAGCTCCTGAATTCGTTCTCCAGTCCCGAACACGTAACCTTGAAACCGGGAACGCGACCTGCCCGCCCCCACTGCGAATAGGTCCCTACCAAACAAAAACCCTCGCGCAAGTAAAAAAAAAAAAAAAAAAAAAAAAAAAACACCCAAAAGGCGCACTGACGGCTCGGAGCGGATGACTACGAACATAGACCTCTCAAGACAGACCACGGCCAACCCGAGGAAATCAAAGCTAAGTCAATGCGTAGACGTCGGAGCAAGTTTTCACGTCCCAGAGATACCCCATTTCACACCTCCAATAGGAGAACGAGAACTAAAGTGACAATAAGGGCAGCTAACTACATACTCAAGAATACAAGAAAACCAACACCGACGACTCCACATATAAAGGAGATATGAGGTGAAGACGAGAAGACCAATATCACCACCAAAACGCAACGAACTACTCAACTCCGCGGGAACATGATCAAATACCTCACACCTTTGCGGGCCAACCAATTGAGACCCAAATCGTGAGATGTTGGAGTGTGGCCAGTTGTGGGACTTTTACCCACCGGC